TACATCATTAGTTTTTGATGTAGTGTTCCATGATTCATTGTTTGCGTATAACACCCAGTGCTCCATGCAGTACGTGCCCTCTTTAATACCCACCACCAGTCTAACCCACCCCCCACCCCGCTCCCCTCTAGAAGCCTCAGTTTGGTTCTCAGAGTCCATAGTGTCTCATGGTTTAAGTCTTTAAAAGAAAAATGGTTTTTACTAAAAATAACCAAGTCTAATTATGTTTTTATGTCTTATATGTACACATGCACAAAAACTGGAAACAACTGTATTGTAAGTTATCAATAAATAAGCACTGGTTTGGAGGATTCTATTTTTCATATACTTTTCTATATAATCCTCTTTTCTAAAATTAACATTATTTTGATAACCAGATATAAAGTTTGTTTTGATTTAGTGACTGGTATCTCACTATTATCTCTTTAAATCTATCACAGAATGCATGTTACCCAAAATGAAGGAAATAAAAACAATAGAACTGCCACTTAGAAAATTCCTTTCATTCTTACTAAAATACTTTCCCCATTAAGTCATTAAAAGGAAATCTTTCTGGATTATGTATTTACAGTGAAGCAAGGATACTGAAACAGGCACTTACCCTAGTTAAGGCACTACCTTACAACATTTTAAAGGGAACACCTCACCTTTATTTTAGCTTTTAAAAAATATTTCAGCACTTAACACGCATATTTGCCAAAATATTACTTAAGTTGCAGACAAGAAATTTTGTAAAGCCCTTACGATTCTGAGAAAAAAATAAATTTTCCTGACAGTTTTAACACAGCAGGGGAGTATTTGATCTAAACATTTAAGAATTAGTGGTCATGGGGGAGGGGGCCTGGCGGCTCACTTGGTTAGGCTTCTGCCTTCTTTTGGCTCAGGTCATGATCCCAGGACCCTGGGATCAAGTCCCGCATTGTGTTGGGCTCCCTGCTCAGCAGAGTCTGCTTCTCCCTCTCCCTCTGCCCACCCCCCCCCACTTTGTGCACGCTCTCTCATAAATAGTATCTTTAAAAAAAAAAAAAAAAAGAATTAGTGGCCAAAATTCATTTCAATTTTTCTAAACATGTCAAAAATGGTTTGCAGTAAATGCTTTAAAAATATTTTTTAAACCTAAAAAAAAAGCTTGAAGCAAAAAATATAGCTAAAAGAAGTTTACAACAAATTGGGAGTTTCTTTTAGCTATATATAGTTATAAGAACAGAAACATTATTTTGCCCATTTACATAACTTAAATTATAATTTGATGCAATCAACCAAAATTAGTGCTACTTACATATGAAGGTACAGTGCTTAAATGGAGCACTGAAAAGACAAAACATCCAATTCTTTATTTGTAGCTAACCATCCTATGTAACAAAAATACATGCTGTTTTCTTCTATGTATTAAAATTTATATTATTCCATTTACATATTTTCTAATCTAGCTACTCTTTGCATCAATAGCTTAAATTATTCAGGTTACCTAATCTTACTGGTGTCAAATACATATTCATTCATCATCAAATATTTATTGAGCATCCAGGTTTGGATTTGAGGCCAAATTTTCTATTGTATTAATTGCCATCCATCAACTATCAATTTCATTATAAAATTCATTAGATATTCATTATTTCTATTATACTTTGGTTCTAAAAAATAATATTGAACACTTCTCAAAAACATCATAAAGAATATGTCTAAGTATTTATCAATCAAGATATCTTGAACTAGAAAACACAAACATATCACATCCAATAACTGAGTATTTTATTTTCTCATTTTTAGAAAAATAAAATACTAAGTTTTTTTCATTTACAGTATTTTCAAAGAATACCAACCACAAGAGTGTCTATGTATCTATGTATATTCACCTCTCAATATGTACCCCTTTGGTTTGGTTGAAATATCTGATCTTAATTAGACTACAGATGGTGGAAAGCACTTCAGTTGAAATATCATTATTAATAAAAATGCACCTTCCCTTTGGAGTGCCTGGGTGGCTCAGTCAGTTAAGTGGCTGACTTGATTTCAGTTTGGGTCATGATCTTGGGGTCCTGGGATCAAGCCCCATGTCTGGCTCCACGCTCAGCAGGGAGTCTACTTCAGGATTCTCTCTCCTCCTCTGCTCTTCCCACCCCCTGCCCCCACTCTCTATCTCCCTCTAAAATAAATAATTCTTTAAAAAAAAAATAAAAAAGGCACCATCCCTCGCGTAAGGCTTCAATCCATTAGGAACTGAAAGGATAAATAAAGGTTGTTTAAAAGAGAAGAAAAAAAAGTCAACCTCACCAAAAGTGGCAATGTCAAGGAAACACTCATAAGAAGAGTGATAAGAAAGTACCTAAAAATGTACAAATCACTTTCCTCAAGCTAGCACATTTTGCATGGTAACTATTCAACGTTTGCTTTTGTCTAAAAGACAAGACACTATATGATTTTATTCACACAAAATTATTTTTTAAAAAAAGCTAATCTACAGTGATAGAAATCAATAGCGATTGTGTAGAGGAGGAGTACTGACTTGAAAGTGTCACGAGGGAATTTGGGGGATAATGAAAATGTTCTATATTTTGTTTGGGATGATGGTTAATAGGGGTGTGTATAATTCTCAAAAATCATTGAACTGAACCCAGGATCTATACATTGTATTACATGTAATTAAACCTTATTAAAGAGCAGACCATCTCGTCCTAGTACTGGGGATCAAGGACCTGAGGCAGAACTGAAAAGCTGACCAGGTTTTGAGGTTCCTAAAAACTGGCTTTAGGGGCACCTGGGTGGCTCAGTTGTTAAGCGTCTGCCTTTGGCTCAGGTCATGATCCCAGGGTCCTGGGATTGAGCCCCGCATCGGGCTCCCTGCTCCGCGGAAAGCCTGCTTCTCTCTCTCCCACTCCCCCTGCTTGTGTTCCCTCTCTCTCTGTGTCTCTCTGTCAAATAAATAAATAAAATATTAAAAAAAAGTTGGGGCTTCATAGAATGGTTTATTTGGCTTAAAAATGAGTTCTTAGAATTCTATATATTATTATAATCTAATATAAATACAAAGATCTATTCCAAAACAACTCTAAGATTATGTACTTTCCTCAATTATTGATTCCCCTTGCTTACTTCCATTACTACAGATGATGGAGCCATATGCATTACTCAAGATTTACCATATCATTAGTCAAAACAATGGGAAATTAAAAGTCAAGCCTCTAATTGTTACCTTCCAAGTCATCTTTTGTCAGACATCTATAATGACATAAATATACATTACTACTTCTTTTAACCACCTGAGAAGAAAAAACTCAACTGTAAACAGAAAAAAATTTACAACCAAAAATACTGGACATTGGCACAGCACTAAACTTAGCACTTCCAGAATGAACTGCCAGGATAGCATTAGAATTCAAATAACTCAAAATGTTGATTTCTCAACCACTTTCCCAATTTCCCACACCTCCCCCAAAGAAATTAACTTTGAAGAGTTTATTTGATTAAGCAAAATTTGAAAGCAGAAGGATTAAAAAGTGAAAAAGGTGGTGCAGAAATTAGCAGAGGTGGCACTACCTGAAAGCTCATCAGAAAGGGGAGTGAGAACAATATCAGGCAAGAAGGGTTTGGAAGTATGGATCAGAACAGGAGCACTTTTAGCACTGCGTATATAGGCCGATGGCAGAGCACATTCACCAATGGATCGGCTTCTCATGGCTTTAAAAAAGGAAAAGAAAGAAGTGGGGAAGGAAAAAAGAAGAGTGACTATAATGAAAGGCTTGTGTCACAGAAAAAGCAGCAACAGAGAAAACTAAAAGATACAAAGGAAGGAAATTTTAAATTAAAACATTTCAGCACGGCAAATACTGGCAAGCTGTAAGAAAAGAAATCAGAGAACACATGACATTTCGAATGTAAAGTTTTTGGTGTAAAGCAGGAAAATGCTTATTATTATTAGCAGTTACAATGGTATAGCATTAAAAATCAGCAGACACTTTAAATTAGCACTATGTTCTCAAAACCAAGGGTTGAAAAGTTCATTGAATGGGAACACTGAAAAGAACTCAACATTATTAGTTCAAAGAAATTTTTGGTACCATATTTGGGCATTTCTCTGAGCCATTACGAGGCAATTCCGAGTCATTCTTCTTAATGAAGATGAATTCCAAAACCAAATCATTTCTACTTTCATACTCTTCCCTAACAAAGTTTCGAAGTCACTCCTAGGTCATTTTTAGAACATGTTATGTAATTCATAATCTAAAGGATTGAATCTCATGGTTAGTATTTGATCTGGATAGGAGAAGAATGCTTACTTAAATCCGTATCTCTTACTTATATTAAAGTGTAACAGCATATAGGACACCTGGGTGGCTCAGTTGGTTAAGTGTCAGACTTCGGCTCAGGTCATGATCCCGGGGTCCTGGGATTGAGCTCCACATCGGGCTCCCTGCTCAGTGGGGAGTCTGCTCCTCCCCCTCCCTTTGCCCCTCCCCCTGCTTGTGCTCTCTCTTTCAAATAAATAAATTAAAAAAAAATAAGTTTAACAGTATAATTTAAAATTTTTAAGTAGAAATATTTACAGAAAATAGAATTTGCAATCTGGATGAAAAATCAAGTCATTGAGAAAAATAAGTTTGTGTTAATTTAAATCTTAAGCATGTAATATAAAAACTTTAAAGATTAAGTTCTTAAAGATAACTTAAAAACTGGATTACTTTTCAAAAATTACATTTGTAGTTATATTTGGTAGTCTCGTATAAGGAGTCACCAGTTCATACAATTAAAGACAAATTTTAGCACACTTACAAATAATTTTTTAATAGTCAAGTTTATACTTCCCAAACATGCTTTTAACTTAACTTCCAGTTTAGGGATTCTTGAACAAAGGTATGCATATTGTTGTGTATGAATAGAGGACTTAAAAGAAACAATATTGCATAATATCCAGTATAATATGACTGGTTAAAAAAAAATTTGAGCATTAATATCAATTCAAAATCTTGGCTGTCCGTGTTAATGTAAACTTTTGGTTCCCCCACCGATGCCTACATTGCTTAGCCTGTCACACAAGGCCTATGGGACCCAGCTGCACAAATCACTACAATTGCATCTTTTCCTCACAAGCTGCTGCCACAGAGAATTTTTATGCTGCTCCCTGAAATTTTCATGCTCTTTCAAGACAGCATAGCTTTGTGAATTCATAATATCCTTGGTCTTTTTTTCCTCCTGACACTCCTTCTTACTCAAAATGTCAAGCATTTTCTGAATCTTCCACATAATTAACTTACTGGCAATATAGCAATGAACAAAACAGTTAAGAATCCCTGCTTTTGCAAAGCTTAAAATCTATTTTTAGTGGACTGTATGTTTTTTATGTCAGCCTCCCAACTTTTCAAACACAACAACTATATCCTCTGATCTTTATAATCCTAGTACTTGGCACATAGAGCTCAATAAAGGCTTATTGAATGAATATCTGTATTTTGGGAGTATGGCATAATTATTTGAAAAAGAAAGGTTTCAGTTGAAAACATAAAGAGGAATAAATCAAAAAAAGATACTTACTTTAAACTAAACTGACTTTTAAAACTAATGATTTAATTTTCAATTCTACAGAAGAATTACAAGTTTTCTTCTGTTTTTTTCCCTTGGGTTAGATAATTCCTTGCATATAACAATTCCTTTTATTCCTTCTTTCCTACCACCAACCTGGAGGAAGAGCTTGGGCATTTCCCTTGGAACTTTCCATAATCGCAGTGGTTTAAGTTTGTTATGATCCTAAATGAATTCTACAAAAATGCACCCCTCTAATTTTTTTCACTACACTACAGGTCTTTATGCATACCTGAAATTCTGTCCAGTGCCTCACAGCCATGTATCCTACACTATAGAAAATTACTTATGATGAATTAACTACTAGGATTTTTAGGGATTTACTAATCTAAAGCTTAGGTCAGAAATCTCCAGAAAGCCACTGAAATTCCTACTGCCACATACATTCCTAAGCCACCCATATCAGTGATCTTAAATCTGTAAATGAAAGGGCAGTATAAAAAATATAACATCAAGAAATCAGGAAGTAAAAACAAATTTTCAAACATATAAGCATGCCAATTTTTTAAGGCTTTGTATCTTTACCCGTCTCAAAAAAATGAATAAAAAAGAAAAACAGGGGCGCCTGGGTGGCTCAGTCATTAAGCGTCTGCCTTCGGCTCAGGTCATGATCCCAGGTCCTGGGATCGAGCCCCGCATCGGTCTCCCTGCTCAGCGGGAGGCCTGCTTCTCCCTCTCCCACTCCCTCTGCTTGTGTTCCCTCTCTCACTGTCTCTCTGTCAAATAAATAAATAAAATCTTAAAAAAAAAAAAAAAAGATGCATTCCACATGAATTCACCTTGGATCATAAAGTACACACATTATGTCAAAAACTGTAACCTTCATTCAAGAGTTCCCATGCAACATAAGAAATTCATAAAAACAGCAAATGTATTAAATCACTAAAAGCACACAAATACAAAATAAATAGAAGGAAGGCAAGTCTTGCCTTTTCTCACTTCTAAAATTACACAGTTCTCCATATTTATAATTAAATAAAATTCACATCATACATACATGTCTGTCCACTGGGAGAAATACCTTTTTAAGTCCCCAAACTAAGGCTAAAGATTATAATAAAAATAAAGTAAAAGGAAAATCTGAAAACAGAAACAGTGATATATTTGTTCCAACAGTTGAATACTAGTTCCTGAATCATAACTGCAAACAAGTTATTACTTCTCACAAACGTATTCTAAAGTAAGTCTAAAGTAAGTCCTAAATTCGCTGCATCTCCTTTAATAATATGTTGGCATAAGCAAAACCTTAGGAGTAGTGATGAGGGACTTACTAGAATATATACACTTTATCATAGATTGAATTTTTAACTGTGTACACTATGAACATAAAAATTTAATATTTTAAGAAAATATATATTCAAACACTATCCTGAATTAATCTGCTGCCCCTTTTAGTATTTTCCAACTTATGCAGGTACTTTTCTGAACAAAATTGTTAATACTTCAACTTTTTATTTGATAGGTTTGTTTAATGAACAAGCCAGACAAGGTTGTTTTGGGAGAGGTACCAGAAAGTAATCATAGTCAGGTAGGAACTGAAGATGAGTATTTTGCTCATTATATACTTTTTAAAGATTAGAAATATGCCAACATGTTAACGACTGTTTCTCATTAGACAGCTCATTGATGTTTCCTTAAACTTTACATTTCACGCTAAGCATAAATTACTTCTACAATCAGAAAAATTATATAAGAAACTTCAAAAAGATACATTTTAAGTAAAACAAAGTAAAATTTTAAACTTCAAAGAACAATTCTATCCTAACCAATACACAAATACTTTCATTAAATGTGACATTAATATAAAATGAAGAAAGGCATTTCAGATGTAATCAACATCTTCCTAAGAATCTCAAATGTGATTCTATACCAAAACTTTGATTATATTAATTTTAATTCATCCATACCCTTTATCCTTGTATCATTTATTATTCTTCTTGACATAGACAATTCTATGCTTATTTTATAGGCAGAAAACAACTGTGAAAATATAAGTCTTTTGAAGGATTTAAAAATTAACTGATTTTTAATTCTTTTAAATTTCTTTAAAATAGTGTTTTTCATGATTACCATTAAATATAGATATATTTCCACAAAAAAATGCTCCTTCCATAGAAATCATAGACTGTAGGGGTGCCCGGGTGGCTCATTTAAGCATCTGACTTCAGCTCAGGTCATGACCTTAGGGGTCTGGGATAAAGCCCTGAGTTGGGCTCCCTGCTCAGCAGGGAGTCTGCTTCTCCCTCTCCCTTTGCCCCTCCGCCCTGTTGGTGCACTCGCAAACCCTCGTTCTCTCTCTCTCTCAAATAAATAAATAAAATCTTTTAAAAAATTATAAATTGTAAAACCTAAAGTAACTTCAAGCAATTTTGTTTCAGGCATATAAAGTATTATTATTCCCATTACACAGATGAGGTAAATAAAGCCTAGGAAGTTCAAGATGATCTAGCTATTCAGTGATGAAAGTAAGACTAAAAAAAGAGATTAGGACAAAGCCTTCTTAATTTTCATTGCAGCACTCTTTCTACTACAATTCAGACCAAGTTATAAGTCTCTGAGAGGAAGAGTAATAAAATGGTAGCTAGGTCCAGAGTATACTGCGTGATCCTACAACCAGAAATTCTTCCCATTATTGCGCCTTTGCTGCTACTTCCAAGATCATAGAAATTTCTTCCATGTCTGTTAGAAGCTGCAAGGAATCTAGCAACAACTTCCACCTTGGTCTCAGCTATCTGCAAGCAGAGAGCATGAATTCCTAGTTGGAAGTGTGTGAAGCCAATCTAATTATATAACTCTAGCACTGAAAATTAGCTACCCTAATTTCCCATTTGTGAGTATATTCACTTAGTAGAAACTCTACCAGTTAATGTATGAGTTCTGTAAAGCGAATCAGAGTTCTATTTCTTCAATTCTGTAAAAAAGTTTAAAATCATTGATACCTACAGTAAAATAAACTACGTAAAAATGCTAATGTAAGATAAATCTTAATAGCATACACGAGTAACCACATGTCATTAGATTCTCGAATACTACTGGAAAAAAAAAGGTTTTGCTATAGAAGTTTTTCCTTTAACCACCAAAGTTAAAAGGTAACTATATATTTACATAGATTGTTACTAAGGACTATAAACGTATTGCCCTGTACAATTCTCATTATTTTAAAGAGTACATACCAACGGTTTTTTGCCGTACTATACTCCTTGCCTTTTCGGTTCCTGGGGAACCAGTGGTTGTTGCACTTCTCTGCCTCATTGGGGCTTGGCCAGGCTGATCACGACTCCATCCTCTAGAAAATGACTTGTCAACTGAAACTTTCTGAAATTCATGTCCAACTCCTAGAAATGTAGATTTTCAATCTCAGTATACTGCCACCTGATTAATAATCTCTTCAAATTATGCGTGCTACCTTGCCTCAGATTCTCAGGTTTACTCATAATGCATTATGAAGTATCATGTTAAATGCCTGTGTACCATAAGGCTTTTCTGAACTTCAATTTATGTAAAAATCATATTCCAAAACCAATACAGAATTCTAAAATTTCACCATCAAAAATAAACTATTATTAAATCCTTTGCCATCTACTTGTTCCATTAAAAAAGAAACATTTGGATAAGCAAAAAAGTTTGAGAAATGAGCCAACCAAAAGCCATCCTGTGATGGAAGTTACTAAATCTCTACCTGCCAATAGCAGCCAGTTGGGAAATAAATAGTCTAGGAAAAAGTATTTTGGTCACATAATTAACTACCATGGACTACTTTTAAATAGGAAGTGTGACCCAGGTATAATCTCTAGCCAGCAACTACTTATTAAGAGTGAAAAATACTAACACATCAAGGATTATAAAAACATGTATTAACAATATAATCACTATGTCATTGTCCCTCTCCCCCTTTTTAACACTCAATAGATACAGAATCCACATCTAGGGAATGTTTGCTTTTAGTTAAAACTAAAAAAATGCTTTCAACAGAATTTTTCAAATAATTCTTTTTAAATAGAGTAACATGAAATCACCTTCTAAATTCTAACAAAAAGTTGCATATGATAAAAAACGAAGAACATTAAAATTTCCATTTTGGTTAATTATTTAAAATAAAATAAGATTCTAAATTATTTAAATTTTAGCTAGATATATACAGAACACTTTATTTCTCATCAAAATCACTGATTTTAAGGTTATTCAAGAAAAATTACAAGGTACCTACATGTTTTATTGTTGAAAATTTTTAATCTGCAGGGCAAATGAAGGAGGGAACAGTTAAGAGAAAACATAATTTTTTACCGTCACCTGTCTCCCTAGCTTGATTTTCCCAGACCAAATTATTTAAACAAATTTATGGGGAGCATCTCTGTGGACAACTCTTACCTTTCCCTTTGTGCTTTTTTTGCTTCTGTTCACTCAGCTTATCCAATGGCAAATCACTAAGATCCAAACTATATAAATTTCTAGCTAAAACTTTAGTTAGAGTTTCCATAGTCAGCGACCACTCAGTGGCTAACTCTTCCCAATAGGTCAATGACGATAATACTGACAGTAAGTCATCCCATAGTTCTCGAGAGATGTACACATTAAGATTTGCTTTGATCCAGGCAACGATAAGAGTCTATAAAGACAAATAAGTAACAATGAAATATGTTCAAATTCAGATATTCAATCATAAAAAAAAAAACTAAGAACAAGCAGATTTTTAAATCACGTAATATCCATGACCCTTTCTTGGTACCTAATACTTATAAAGGGATTCATGCAATCATTAATATCTACTATAAATTTCATTTCAACAATTGCTAACACCCAACATTCTAGCAATCAGGACAAGTTATCAAAACTGAAAAGAAATATCCTTCAGTTGTAACTATCCTTCATGCTGTATTACATTAATGTTAAATAAATGCTGCTTTAAAAGAGTCTCCACATTATTAAAAATTTGAAATTATTATGTTGAATTATTTACTAATGCTTACTGAGCTAAACTGACCAAAACCTACATTCTCAAATTGAAGATGAAACTCAGCATATAATTTGAATATTCTAAAAACAAAAGTTACTGCAGATATACTTAATGAAATGTTTTTTGAAAAATTATATGTAAATTAAAGAATAAAATTAAATTTCACTTTGAAGATACCAGAAGAATTAAAGGCATTTTGTAAAATATCCAATCATAGAATAAGAACTTATTCACTGAGGGCAGAAATTACTGATCAGCCATTACCCCTGAGATTTTAGGGATTTCTACTGAAGATATAACCTCCTATTGAAGAAACGAATAGTAAAAAGTTTTTCAAAAGCTTAACTCTAAATTTTACTAAGTAATTCACATAAATTTATACATTAAATGCAAGATGAAATGAACAGAGTTTACAGTATAGAACAGTAAAAACTAGTGACTCTGATCTATCTTGAAACATTTACACTACAAAAAAGTTATTCCACATAGCAAGCTAAAATTTTGCCTTTCTGTAGTTTCAACATTGGGTTAGTTCTAACAATCGGGAAATGTTTTTAAAAAGGGTTTAGATAATAAATGTAACTGGTTTCAAAAGATTATTCACTACTAGAATAAAATTTTAGGCATAAGAATATTTTTTAAAAAATGATTTGAATGACTATACTTATGGCCAAGAATTAGATCTGAGTAGGTTTTTATCTTTGATATTAAGAACCATTTTATCCACGTATTTGTATTTAATGTGTCATCTTAAGAACATATTATTTTGGTATTTCCAAAGAATCCATAATACATTTAAAGTCAATACTCTATCCTCAGGTTGGAAAACACAATACATAATTTTTATATATTCAAACTACCACTGATACTTAAAATACAACAATGAATAAAGTCTTACAGAACAGCATGATAAGAAAGATTCTTGATTATTAGCTACTTTTCCATTACTACAGAACAACTTAAAAGAAAGTTTTGTTTTTCTAACGATGCCAGAGACTTGGAAACTCATAAAGCAAACAATCAGGCCATTACTCATGAAGCTCCCTGGCAGCTTTTTGCAATCATGTAAGTATGCCACACAAGAGAAAAAGTTAAATATCATCAGCCTGTTTCAACGCTCTTTACATAGAACTGGTATTTCCTCCACTCTTATACTAGGTTGTGAGTTTCTATGTATGGCAAATAGCCTATTTAGATAAGCAACTTTAAATTTAGTTCACAAAAGGTCCTTTAATATGAAATGATCTTTGATTTAAAGCTTTTTTCCCCTAAGTAACAAGTTCAGGGCTCAATGAATCTTATAAAAATACATATCTATCCATCTATTTATCTATCTATTTATTTATTTTTATTGCCTGGAAAAGTGGTCCTGCAAGTCGACCTGCCAAGGTCATATTTTTTTTCCCCTGGAACTGTAGAAAAGCTTGTGATGGCATCTTCAGTACAGACTCCGTGACTCTGAGCAACACAAGCAGCATCTGTTCCCTTAAAGTAAAAAAATTAATTAATGTTTCCTTCTCACATATGTTTGTTTTTGATTAATGAATAACTTCAAAATTAATATTTGTTATAAAATGTATTATCTTTCAATAAGTCAAATATCAAATATCTTTCAAATTTTTAGAATTCTTTAAATATTAAAATTTAAAATTCCATTTTATAAACTATACCAGCCATTTTAAAAAACATTTTTTCATCACAAAACCCTCTCATCAATTAAAAATGTATGCAAAAGCTCATTATTAGGAGGTGAGAATGTGGTGGCTGCTCCCATCCCCCGACCCCCCAAAAATCAAGTAATAACCTTAGGAAGCTGTTTGAAGAACATTCCTCTATCTATATAGTTCTACCTTGATGCCTATACATCTATTCTTCATCTTTATAATATGGAAAATAAGCACATATCCAGAAGTGTACCAGGTGCAACTGCAAAAACTACATGATTTTTAAGATTAATAGATCACAGTTGATCCTGACAGGTAATCAAGGACCATCACTCTTTTGCCTCTTTCTACCCTTTTAAGTTTGGCCATTTTTTAACCCTTTATTCTCCTTGTGTACTCCAAGTCAAGACAATCCTAATATTATTTCTACCTTGCCTCTTTCTCCTAGATGCTTATTATTAAGACCATAAAACCACCTTATTTGCACTTGATAATTTGGAAACTGATTAAACCATATGTGAAAAAGGGTATTTCAGTTTGGGTGTACAGCCAGACTACCAGCCCAAGTCCCTATCACAGCCTCCTCTCTGATTTGTCTGTGGGCCCATTCCAGACACAGCAACATGTGGGACGTGGAACAATCCATGTGAGAAATGTGGCAGAGGTAGCAAGAGATCAGAGACCTAGAAGTCATCATTTTTCTGGAAAGGGAGGGCAGAATCAAATAGAAAAGTATCACTCAATGAAAAATATCCTGAATTGATTAACAAATAAATACATGTATTTATTCATAAGATAAAAATCAAAGTTGCCACATTTGTAATCTTAGTCTTCTGGCTTAGCTGTATGAAATGAAGAACTTTTTGAAATCAACCACATACGCAATAAAGTATAGATTTTCCAAATAAATCTTATCTGACTTGTGGTCAAATCAAAACTCATTCATATATAACCTTTCACTTTGTAATATGATAGTAATGATTTTAATTCATAAAATCTTATAAATTCAATGTAAATATGTGAGTAATCTCTCATAATGCTACGATTTAAAGGGAACTTATAAAAAAACTTTTTTAATTCTAAAATTGTGTTCCATATAGCAGACCTCTCACTTTAACCTGGCTCAACAACACTGATGCAAAGTACATTTAAAAAAAACAAAAAGGAAGGGGGGGCAGAGCCTAATAAAAGAATGGTCCAAAGTAGTATGGTTACTGGATAATAATAACCTAGGCTCTGCAGTCTGAAGGACCAGTTCAAATCTCAGCTATGTAAACAAAAATAAATGAACTAATCTCTTTGTGCCTAAGAACCACCACATAAAATAGAGATATTATCTACCTGAGAAGTGCTACAACAATTAAGAAAGAAAATGCATGCATAGTGCTTAAAAACATACCTGGCATCGAAAAGTGTTCCAATTAAGTTAATAATACTTCCTGATGTAACTATATCCATACTGCTAATAAAGAATTTTTTCAAAATAAAGCCATTTTTCCATATGCAGCAAAACATGTACTAGGCATAATCTTTCACTAAGTACTTCCACTTTTTAAGAATAAGTCAAAGGAGAAAAATTATGTATGTATAAGGATGATCACTGTCTTCCCTCCACCCCAAAATAAAATGGAAATAACTATATATCCATCAAAAGGAGACTGGTTAAGAAAATTATGGCACATACAAATGGCATAATACTATGTGACTATATATGGTTTGGTGAACCAGATGTTCATCAAAGGGCAAACAATGATTACCTCCAGAGAATGAGTTTTGGGGCAACTTTTATTTTCTTTTTAAAACTTTCCTTTGTTTGATTTTTACAGTGAACATGTATCATTTTTACAAAAACTGAAGAACTGTTCTTTTCCCCAAAAGGCCTATTTTTCCATTCAATTAAATATTTAAAGAGTACAAATAATATATAAAATACTATCCTAAGAATGTAGGAAATATAAAAACAAAGACAACAGAGACATACTTTTTAGGGCCTTTCAATTCAGAGGTAAACAGACATTTATACAAGTAATTTAAGGATTCAGACAATTTTGAAAAGAACTAAAACAGAGGTACAAATACATACTGAAAGGAAGTGGGGGGGAAATTATAAGTAAGGATATGTGGAAAAAGGAAGGTGGACTCTAAAGAGTTATTGTGACAACATAAAAAGATGGCAAGAATGAGATACTCTACAGAAAAGTTCAGAATGTGCACAGGAAACAGCAATTTGGTACAGCTGGGAGCTGGATCCCATTCTGCAGGGTGGAGTTTAGGCTTGAGAGAAAGACAGAAAATTAGGCAGGAACCTCACTGTACATGGCCTTAAATGCCAGGTTGAGAAATCAGGCATTCACACACTTAATCATTTACTTATTCTTTTATTCACACATGCATAATTTCATTTATTCATGCATGTATTCATTCCTGAGAGTGGTCGGGGGGCGCATCATATGTCCACTTTAGAAAACTAATCCAGGAAGGCTGATCAAAGGTGTCTAAGATAAAGTGGAGACTACTATTGTCATCGTAATTATTACATAAAATATTTACTTGCTAATAGAAGCCTCTACAATATTGCGACAAGCCCTGTTCACAGACACTACACTACTCCTCTAAAAATTGCTATAATTATATATACACAATTAAAAAAAACAGAAAGGATAAATATTTTTTACCAAGTCTTTTTGTCCATTGAAACTTGTACAACCATGAACCGATAAATATTAAGAATGCGTTTACACATATCTGTGTGCTCATCCAGAAGATTTTTAATTTCATTTGCAGGTTCAAGAAGAAATATGTTTGATGAGTTTATAATAAACACCTAAGACAAAAGACATCATTAGCTATTCATTATAAAATTAAAATTTCTTATTTAAAGAAAAAATAAATTCAGATGCTGATCACTAGGTGATCTACAACAAACTTAAAAGCATAAGGCTACAGGTTAATTCTGATCCTACTTCTACCACTAGTTTGACATGTGAAATTTAAACCCATTAAACCATTTTGTTTTTATGTTTATCTAGACAAATATAAAATCACTACTAGGCACCCAAGGAAAAGAAACCAAGTGAAAAACAGCATTTTTTAAAACTGAGAGCTTTAATATAATAACTCTACTGCTGTCATAAAATGAAACAAACAATAAAAAATACAAACAGTTTAGGATAAAAGAGGATACCTAAATTAAGAAGAATTTTCAGAATAAAATGTTCAATACCATCTATTACTCTTTTCATGTTTATAGTCTATGTGTGTTTATCTGCTTTAGTAATAACAAACTGCATGAATAGATCACATATTATAGTACTACTAATGAGGTGCCATTAATATGCATCTTTTACAGAAAATTTTTAAAGAACTATTATAATCAAATCATTAATTATATTTTGTTGTTGAAGACAAAGTAATTATAATGGTGACAGGTATGTACAAAGGCTCTCAAAGATACTTTGGAGGTATGGAACATTTCATCTATTGTGAAGCTAGGACATTTACATCTTCTATACCCATAATCCTGATTTAAATCCCTGGATGAATTACATAATAAAACATAGTTGTAAAATCATGAGAAAAAAGACTATTAAGCTAACTTTAGAATAGTGAAAAGAGATAACTCTGTAAGTCTAGCAACACTGACCAAGAAAAGCAAGAGGCACAAATAAATAATAAATAAATTATCAGAAATAAAATAAGGACATTACTATGAGCAATTTGGGAGAAAAGCATTCCAGACAAAAGAAAAAGCAAGATTAAAGGACCTGAGGTGACAGCCTCCCTAGCAGTTTAAGGAACAGCAAGGAGTACAGAATGAAGTGAAGTGGGGAAGCAGTTGGGAAATGATGTTGAGAAAAAGAACCAGAGCATGTGGAGAACTTCTCACATTGCCAGTGGTGAGAGAATATATTTTCCCCCGCAAACTTCGCAGACCAATCCTATTGTAAAATACAATAAAAATGAACTAATAAGGGGCGCCTGGGTGGTTCAGTCGTTAAGCGTCTGCCTTCAGCTCAGGTCATGATCCCAGGGTCCTGGGATCAAGCCCCACATCAGGCTCCCTGCTTTGTGGGAAGCCTGCTTCTCCCTCGCCCACTCTCCCTGCTTGTGTTCCCTCTCTCACTGTCTCTCTGTCAAATAAATAAAATCTTTAAAAAAAATGAATAAGAAAAAGGAAATGAAAACAGACATACAAAAATATAAATGCAAACCATCAAAATCAAGAGATATTAGATGACTTAGTTTCTAAACTCTTAGTCTCAATTTTGTAATTATCTTGTGGGCCAGCACTAGTCTGTGGACCATACCCTGAGGAGCAATGATGTAAAGCCTTATAGACCATTAGAAAGACTTCTGCTTTTATGCTTAGTGATAATGCAAAGCCAGTGGAGGATTTTGAGCAGAAAAATGGTATGATCTGACTTACACTTTATAGAATCCCTCTGGCTACTGTGTTGAGAATATGCCAGAGTGATGAGTGGGCAAGAGCAGAGCAAGGATACTAATTAGGAGTTTACTGCAATAATCCAGATGAAAGATCACAGAGGCCTGGACACAAGAGGTAGTGTAAATGTTGAATAGTTAGATTCGGCATACATTCTGAAAATGGCCAGGATGTGTTATCAAATTAGATGTAGGATATAAAAGAAGGCAGGGGAGTACCTGGGTGGTGCAGTCAGTTGAGCATCTTACTCTTGGTTTTGGCTCACGTCTGATCTCAGGGTTGTGAGATGGAGCCCTGTGTTGGGCTCTGCATGCAGCACAGAGTCTGCTTGGGTTTCTCTCTCCCTCTCTCTCTCTGCCCCTCCCCCCTGCTCCCTCACTCTCTAAAATAAATCAATAAATCTTTAAAATTAATTAATTAAAAGTAAAAGAAAATCAGGAAACAAGATGGCTTGAACAATTGGAAAACAGGTGCTATAAATGAAACAAGGAAAATTGCAGGAACAGCATGTTTGTTGAGCAAGAACAGAAGTTTTAGACATGTCAAGTCTGAAATGTCTATTAGATATCCAAGTGAAGATGTTAACTTGGCATTTGAATATTTGAGTTTAAGACTCAGGGGTACCTTGGTGGCTCAGTCAGTTAAGCGTCTGACTTCAGCTCAGGTCATGATCTCAGGGTCCTCCCCATGAGCAGGGAGTCTGCTTCTCCCTCTACCCCTCCCCCACCCCGCTTGTGCCCTGTCTCTCTCTCAAATGAATAAATAAAATCTTAAAAAAAAAGAAAGACTCTTAAGAGCTCAGACAAGAGGTCTCACACTAGAAATAAAATTGTAGATGATGCAGTATATAGATGACATTTAAAGCCAGAGGAATGGATGAGATGAACCAGAGAATAAGTAGAAGAGAGATCTAGGAACTGATCTGGGGCCCTTCAACAATGAAATGGTTAGGGACATGTGAAAAATTCAGTAAAAAATTCTGAGAAGTGGCCAGTGAGTTAGGAGAAAAACAGGAGGCATGCTATTCAGAAGGACAAGAAGAGTTTCAATAAAGAGAGAATGGTCTATTCTATAAAATGCTCCTGACAAGTCCAATAAGATTAGGATTGAAAAATGTACATCTGGGGCACTTGGGTGGCTCAGTTGGTTAAGCATCCAACTCTTGATTTTGGCTCAGGTCATAATCTCAGGGTCATGAGATAAGGCCCCACGTCACACCCCATGCTGAGTGTGGAGACTGCTTAAGATTCTCTCCCTCCCGCTCTGCCCCTCCTCCCTCCATTTGTGCACATGCTCTCTCTCTTAAAAAAAAGAAAAAAGAAAAAAATGTACATCTGATTTAACAATGTGGAGGTCACATGTGGTCTTGACAAGAACAGTCTGATTTAAAAAATTAATGACTATAATGAACTCCTACAAATCAACAAGAAAAAGACAACCCAACAGAATATGGGAAAAAGTATATGAATAGGCAATTCATAAAAAGATGCTCAATTTCAGTACTGATGAAAAAAAGCAAATTAAAAAAAGGAAACAAAAATACGAAATAACATTTCACATATTTGAGGCAGCAAAAATTAAAATGTGACTCTATAAGTAAAGAGGGAAGATATAAGGAAATAACTCATAAACACTCTAAAGGAAATGTAAATTATTATAATCATGTTGGAAGACAATTTGGCAATAACAGTAAAGTAAGGATGATAATATACAACTCCTCCAACCTAGTAACTCCACTTCTGGGTACATATCCTAAGGAAATTCTCCCACATGTGTGAAAGAAATAAATAAGAATGTACATTCAGCATAGCACTATTTGGAATAATGAGAAATTGGAAACAACTTAAAAAACATCAACAGAAAAATAAGTAATATGTGAAATAATCATAAGTTGCAATACCAGAAAGTAGCTAAAATGAATGAACTATAGCTATGTATCAACAACACAACTCAAAAACATAATGGTTAATGCAAAAAGAAAGTACCAGATGACAATACACCATGACACAATTTATATAAATTTTGCAATTGTCTAGAAAAATAATATGTAATTTTTATCAATACATATACATCAGGAAGTAGAAGTTAAGGAAAAAACAAAATTAATATTTTATAATGAAAACTGATTAAATGTGGGTGTTGAGTTTATTAAAAAATTATACTGTACAATGAAATACTGAACCATATATTTGAAATATTTAATAATTACTTTATTGTATTTTTTTTAAATACCCAAAAAGTGAACCACCTGCAAAACTGCCTGGGTACCAGCTCGTATGTTTTGTTCTGTGACTTCCTCAGAGGCGTTATGAAGAACATCTTGGTAGGTGCCATTTTTTGCCCAAGTGGAATTTCGAACATGATCAGCAATATCAGTCCCACTTTCCTAAAAAAAATATCAAGTTTTCATATTTCATTAAGAATGCTGCAACATGACAGTAAGCTGAAGAAGTAAACTGGAAATTATGGGTTCTTCTGCTAAGCATCTTCTCAGAATAGAGTTTCATTTCATTAGAAAAGCAATGTATGTTCACTGTAAAAAAGGTTCTCCTCATTAATAAAAATATAAAGAAAATAAAAAATCATCCATAAGGGTCAGACAGAAATTTTATCATTTTATATACAGAGACATTTTTCTATGTAGCTAATGTATAAACCTCCCTTCTGTAACTTACACACTTAAAGAATGGGATTATATTACTTAAAATTCTGTAAAACATGAATTTTGTTCTAAAGTAAATGCCAGAAACCAAACTTAAATAAAACAATAGAAAATAGCTTCTATTTATTTTAGAGTATTAAAATTCTTATTACTCAGAGAAGAATATTAGGTACTTCAAACCCCTAAGACTCCATCTTTCTGCTTGAGTTTTAGCTGTCAAAAGTCTTGCTGACTAAGGAGTTCCCTCAGGTGAAAAGCCACAAAAGCAGACATTTCACTCAGAGTTGTTCCCTTCTTTTAAGTTTCTTTCTAGTTTCTTCCTGCTTGCAGTCACTCACCAATATTTTCAAATAGTTCATTGTTTTTTTTTTTAATATTTTGTCTAGAGCTTATAATTGTAATATGCAGGACGTTTAGTCTAATACAAACTACTCTGCTATTACCAAAGTACTGAAATCAGCTCTGTCTCCATAGCCAATACAGTATACAATAGTATACTGTACTCCTCTCTTAAGCCTCATACTCCTATGATCAGATATCTTCTCAACATTTCTTCCTGAATGACCCAAAAACAGCTCCAACTCAAAATATTTAAAAGTTAAGTTTATTAACCACGTCCTCCCATTCTTACCAACCCCTCTGGCCACCATAGTCACCACCACCAAACTTGCATTTTTAAAAATCCTATTCGTATGTGAATGCCAGCTACACCCTGTTGCAAAAGAAACAAACTTGAGACTCCTCCAATTCCTCATTTCTCTCACCCAATTAATCATCAAGACCTATAGATTTTACCACCAAAGAAACTCTTATCTGTCTTCTTCCTTATATTTCCACTGTAATTCCACTGTCCTGGTACTTCTCTCCCTTTGAACATTGCTAATATTTCCTAACTAGTCTCCTTGCCTCCAGGCTGGCCTCCAACCTATCTTCCACTCTCAGCTTGATATGATCTTCTGAAATATAGAACTATCCATGCCATTCTTCTATTTATAGTCCTTCCAATTTTTCCAGTATCTATCTAGAATGTAATCCCAGTCGCTACAATGGCATACAAGTTTCTGAACAGAGTCTAGCTCTTGCCTATCTCATATTTCCATATATATGGAAATAATATACATATATTACATATATATGTAAAATTTAGGGTCTCTCACATCTTTGTAGATGCTATTCACACCATGTGGTTCCTTTCCCTTTCGTTACCTGCACTTCATATTATACTACCTCCTCCATGAAGCCTTCCCTAAGCCTAAGCAGAGTTACGGATTCCATCTATCACACTCTAAGACCATAGCAATATTCTTTTGTAATACTTATTTTGCATGTTTGTCTTCTTGCTAAACTGTAAGTTATGTGAAGGTAGAAAAGAGGTCTTTTCATGTTTCTATTTCCAACACTGGTTCTCCATATGGACATTACCATGTTTTACGGGGCACTCTCAGAGTGTTTTATTGTCACAAAAATTGAGAATACCATGGAGATTTAATGGGATGAGCCAGGGAATGCTAAACATACTACAAGATGCATGACAGTCTGTCTGCACACACACAAACTGTCTTGTATTCCACGTCTTTCAAATGTCCCACAGACACTAAGAGAATAAAAAGCCACTATCTGAATCTATAACTTAACTCCATTTTATAATTAAAACCAAATTTGGGGGGCGCCTGGGTGGCTCAGTCGTTAAGCGTCTGCCTTCAGCTCAGGTCACGATCCCAGGGTCCTGGAATGGAGCCCCGCATTGGGCTCCCTGCTTGGTGGGAGGCCCTGCTTCTCTCTCTCCCAGCCCCCCTGCTTGTGTTCCCTCTCTCACTGTGTCTCTGTCAAATAAATAAATAAAATCTTAAAAAAAAAAAATTGGGGGGGCGGCCTGGATCGCTCAGTCGTTAAGCATCTGCCTTCCGCTCAGGGCATGATCCCGGAGTCCTGGGATCAAGCCCCGCATCGGGCTCCCTGCTCCACGGGAAGCCTGCTTCTCCCTCTTCCAATCCCCCTGCTTGTGTCCTGCCCTCGTTCTCTCTCCCTCTGTCGGATAAATAAAATTTTTAAAAAAAATAAAACGAAATTTTAAATCATTTTTATATATATTAAACATCAGAAATATAAATCAGTGAATGATTATATCTTTCTTTGTTGTTCATGCCATCAGCAAGAGTTGTTGGCATTCTGAAAAATCCACATTTCTAATAACAAAACTAGTTGCAGGATTTGAGTAATCAACATGTTTTACCTATAAAACACACCTACATCACCAGGCTTTTGTAGATTCCTTCTTTCCTTTCTCCCTCCTTTCCATTATTTAATTACGTATGTAGGTGTATTATTTTTGTATGTATCATTTTTATTTAAGGATAGTAAATGATACAGGGTAAGCTCAGTATTAAGGTATAAATTTATGACAAAAATTGGGGGAAAACAAATTATTTAAACTGATAGGTTTATTTTCTAGATTGATGCAAAAATTGGATGTTTTAACTGATGCATAAAAAACAGAACTATAATTATTTCATAATTTACATGGTAAATTTAATTTACTTCAATTATATTTCTCAGTTACATTTAGTTACATTTCTTAGTTAACATTTTTCTCTTTTTAGAAATAAGGATGCTCTCTCTATATATATTAATATATATATATATATATTAATTCACTGAATCCCTGCAGAATGTGGCCTATTCATTCCTATGTTAATATCCTGTTAATCCACTGATGAGATTAAACACCAAGGTAAAAGAAAAAAAAAATTACCAAATCACTCCTATCCAGATTTAGTAACATATGTGTCAATGTCACATTCCCCAACTTTTTTTTTTAAATTAACATATAATGTATTATTTGTTTATGGGTACAGGTCTGTGACTCATCAGTCTTACACAATTCACAGAGCTCACTATAGTACTTACCCTCCCCAATGTCTATCACCCAGCCACTCCATCCCTCCCATCCCCCTCCACTCCAGCAACCCTCAGTTTGTTTTCTGAGATTAAGAGTCTCTTATAGTTTGTCTCCCTCTCTGGTTTCATCTTATTTCATTTTTCCCTCCCTTCCCCTATGATCCTCTGTCTTCTTTCTCAAATTCCTCATATCAGTGAGATCATATGATACTTGTCTTTCACTGACTGACTTATTTCGCTTAGCATAATACCCTCTAGTTCCATCCACTGGCAAGATTTCTTTTTTTGATGGCTGCATAATATTCCATTGTATATATATATACCACATCTTCTTTATCCATTCACCTGTCGATGGACATCTAGGCTCTTTCCATAGTCTGGCTATTGTGGACATTGCTGCTATAAACATTGGGGTGCAGGTGCCCCTTCAGATCACTACATTTGTATCTTTGGGGTAAATATCTAGTAGTGCAATTGCTGGATCGTATGGTGGCTCTATTTTCAGCTTTTTGAGGAACCTCCATACTGTTTTCCAGAGTGGCTGCACCAGCTTGCATTCCCACCAACAG